AACGAGAATTAGACGGGCAGGGAGAGGTGAGAAGATCGACTGAAAAAGCGGGGGCTAGAATTTATTGGGGTTCTAAATCTCCGAGCCAAGGAATAAATGTCAAATTTTCCGCAGAAGAGGGGCTGGACTGGCGGGTGGGGGACAAAGTCTTCCTTACGGGGACGACTGGGGACTCAAGTTTCCGGAGCGCAGCCAGGCTGGGATGGGGGTGGCGCGGTGATCAGGCCAGTCTGGGCCGGGGGTCCCCGGCGTCTGGCGAAGCAGGCGTGACGGAGTCCCCGGATCTGGGCGGAGCAGGGGGCCCCTGTACTCACCTCGTCCCATTTGATGAACTTACTCCCGCGCCGTAGGGTCTCCACGACGGTGGGCGGCTCCAGCTGCANCCCACCCCCCCTGCCCTTACATTGCCTCACCCCCTCCTGCAGCAGCTCGGTCCCCCTCCCTGGGAGCAATTAGCAAGCTAATGGGCCTCCCGCCGCAGGCGCCCTCCCCCCATCCCTAGCCCGGGGAGGCCCGGCGCCTGCCGCCTCCATTGAGGACCCAAGTACCCTGGCTTTGTACAGCGAGCCCTGGAACAGCGCCCTTCTTGTTCCGCAGAACCCACCCCCCACCCCCCAGCTCAGCCTGGAACCTGTCCCAGTGGGGCTCCCAACTGCAAACTGAGAAGGGGACAGCTGGTCGTTTTGCCTGGAGGGGTCAGAAGCCTCCTGGGTGTCCACGAATTAGGAGGGTTGAGGAGGGGCTCTGCCACGCCTGGCCCACAGCAGGTGCCCTGAAATCTGCGGCGTGCCAGGGACCTGAGCTGGAAGGCGCATGGGCACTGAGATGGGTGGGGGCTACAGCCCCTCCCGCAGGGCTTGGCTGGGGGGGCTCCTGCCTGGGGGCCCCTGTGGGAGCCCCCCCAATACAGAGGCAGTAGCAGCAGCAGGTTTAAAGTAGAACTCATCCAGAGGGGCCAGCCAAGTCACCTAGAAACCCAGAAAGAGACAGAGCTGTTTCTGGGCGAGAAGGGGTCAGTCAAGGAGGAGGCAGCCCTACAGGCTGCCTTTGCCCCAGGCTCTCAGACCCCCAAGGGGAACCCTACCTGGCACTGGCCATCCTCAAAATCGCCACCATGTTGGGCACCAAGTCTAACCTAACAGATCTCCTAGCCTTTGACTGAGGCCCTGTGGGTGTGATTATTATCTCTACTTGAGGCCCAGAGAGGGGAAAGGACTCGCCCAAGGTCACACAGCTTGATAGGAGGATTGCAGCCCTCTGTCTTGAAGGCCAGCTCTGTCCTGTCTTTACTCCTTGCCCTTGAAGAGGCAAAGAAAGCGGGACCCGATTTGTGATCCTTGTCCTCTCTCACGAGAGCAACAGAGCCGTACCCCTTAGAGACTCGGGGACCACGAGGTCTCATTGGGTAGCCATGCAGGGTAGAGATGGGCTCTGCTCCCCCTAGCTTGGGTGCAGGTCTACTGGCCAAAACTAGTCTTTGTACCTCCGTCACCTTGTCCAAAAGTTGGATGTTGTCAGAGGATGAAATAGGCAAATGGGTATGAAATGACCCCTGGGTACTGGATATCTGAGACAGCTGCATATCTAAGGAAAGGACAGCAGGCTGTGGCGATGCCAGGGAGGAGGGAGGAAAGGACATGGGTCAGCTCTGGGCTAGGGGGCCTGCCAGGCAGTGCCAGGGCCAGCAGGGCCTGAAGCTGTGGCCTGAGCTTAGGGGTAGAAGCTCTAGGTGGCAGCTTCTTGAAAAACAAGATGGGAACCTGTTTCCTGCCCACCGTGTCTCCCGAGGCCAGGGCAACCCCCATTAGAGGGCTCCTTCCTCCTTGCACACTTTCTTCCTGCCTTGGTAATGGTAATGGGGTTTCTCGGCAAGCCATAACGGTGGAAGGAACGCAGTCTTTCCGGCCTCTACCCTTGATTAAGGGAGCGGTCTCAGCCACAGGACCCTCCCTAGGGCCTCTGCTTTAGGAGGCACTGAAAGCAGCCTCAGCTGGTCTCTGGGGGAGGGGAGCCAGGACCCCAGGAGAGGTGGGGCTGGGGAAGCTACAGCCTGGGGCTGAAAGGGTGAGGAGCAGCGCAGCACTCAGATAGGAGGCCAAGGGCTGGGATATGGTCTTAGAGCACCGATCTCAGCCGCAAATCACCAGAAGTCAGCAGAATCACCCCCTTTGAAGAGGCTCAGGGTAGGTTAGTGACTGGCCCAGGGCCTCTCAGCCTAGGACAGAGGCAGGATTTGGACCTAGTTCTTCCACTCCAAGGTTTTGTGCTAGGCAGTCAAGCCTCCAAGGCGGCTGTAGGCCATCATGGCCATCTACGCTAACACAAGAGTAGGTGGCCATGGGGAGGGATGAACGAGATAGGGGAGTCAGTCTGAGGAATCTGGGAGTGTCTTAAGGGTAGCACAGAAGGTGGAGAGAGGGATTCAGGAAGAGCGTCCCTGGCTCTGTCTTCCTTGTTCAGGCTAGAAACTCCTCAGGGGACACCATGAAATTTGGAAATGATAGGAGGCCTTCAGACCAGCCTTGAGGGGAGGAGGGACAGGAAGATCACTGCTCAGGGTCATAGCATCTGGAGGGACACAGCTGGGACTTGTCCCCAAGTCTTCACCACCAATAGGTTTCATTCCCACAGCGAACTATGATACAGCCTCCCTCTTAACTGCAGGCCTCCACCACCCCCAGGCCTGAATCAGCACTCCAGTTTAAAAAGAGCAAACCCACCCCAGTGGGGTAAGGTGGGGTGTGGTGGGGAATTTGGATTTGATAAATTGCTTCTCCCATCAGGGCAAGCTCAGAGTCAGAAGCCAGGCTGGGGATGGGACTCTCTTAGAAAGGGTGGGTCCTGCCTAAACCACAGGAGAAGGGTCAGCCCTTCCCTGGCCCCGGAGGCTGACCGAAGAGAGGCTAAGGCCCGAGGGGGGGCTAGGGAGGGAGAAGGTATCAGCCCATCATCGAGCCACATGAGTCATGTGCCCCCTGCTCAGGCCTTTCAGGGAGAAGCCCAGCTGGCATGAATCCCATCACCGCACACATCATTCTCAGCCACTGCCTTCCCCTTGTCTGTACTCTCCAACCTCAAGGTAAGTCCAAAGTCCTGGGTTTTGGTGTGTCTGCAGCATCACACCAGCTGTATGAACCTGGGCCAGTGTCAACGTCTGTCTGAACCCCAGAGGGTGTCTCTGGCATCCAGAGGGGCTGGGACTTAGTGTCTCTAGGACATGGAGCCTCTGCTTGGGACTGCGGAGGGTGAGCCTGTCCTCTGTGGCCTGTGGAAGCATCTGAAACAGTTGCACAACCTTGTGTGGCGGTAGGAGCAGTGACTTTGTGTCAGGGGGCCTGCGTAGACAAGCTGAGCTCCATTGCTATCTGGGTGTGTGACTTAACCTCTGTGGTGCAATCACTGAAACTTCCACGTCCTTTCCTATTTAATCTTTGCCACAACCTTTGGAGGAAATGGAGGCACACAGGAAGCCTTTCATTCAGTCATTCGCTCAACCAATTAAACACCGACTATGAATCTGACCTGAACTTCCCTGGTGGCTCAGATGGTAAAGCGTCTACCCGCAATGCGGGAGACCTGGGTTCAATCCCTGGATCAGGAAGATCCCCTGGAGAAGGAAATGGCAGCCCACTCCAGGACTCTTGCCTGGAAAATCCCATGGATGGAGGAGCCTAGTAGGCTACAGTCCATGGGGTCGCAAAGAGTTGGACATGACTGAGCGACTTCACTTCAAGAGTCTGACCTAGGTGCTGAGAGTTCAGCAAGTCAGTTGATTTGCCATATCCATGTGGTTTGAAGCTGAGCGGGTCCACTCAATCACGGGTATCAGCAGTAAACAAGGGCCAGACAGGTCTCAGCCTCACAGAGCTCATAGTTAAGAAATGCGAGACGGACAACGAACCAGTGAATGAGAGACACTATTTAAAAATATAAAAAAATCTCTATATATATAAATCAAACTTGCTGCGGGAACAAGACACAGGGTCTGTTTGAGAGAGGTGGGCCAAATAAGACGCTTGTGAGCTCTGAAGGACAGAGGAAGCCCTAGGGCTGGTATCTACTGGAGAGCAGTGAGATGCCCTCGCGCTAGAACCGACTATGTGGAACTCGTATTAGGGTCAGCAGTTATTATTATCTTTATTATCCTGAGTACTGGCTCCTCCACTTCCCAGTTCTTTAAGCCTCAGTTTGCACACACAAGAGATTGCGGGGTGCGGAGGACCGCGCCCTGTGGAGACCAGCCCTACGAGGGCGCTCCAAACAAGTTTTCCCCGCCTGGGATTCTCTGCGGGGGAGGGGCAGCCATGCGGGGCAGGACTCTGTGAACTACATTTCCCACAATCCCATCAACCGCCATCTTGCCCGGTGGGCGGTGGCTGCCCCGGGTCTAGCCCTTCAGGCCGCTCGGCCGGCTCAGCTCACCCCCAACCTAGGCCTCCATTATGGGGTGCGCGGAACCCCAAGGAGTGCGGCGTCCAGTGATCTGGGCAGCTCCTGCCCGTCTTCTCCACCCCTCCACCCCCGGGAACCCTGTCCACGTGTTTGTCAGCGCGAAGAAGCTTCTTGTCCCCCGCTGACAGAGGACGGGAGGACCCAGAAGGGAGAGGGGTGGCGCTCCCAGGTCTCCTCCTCGGACTTCGGTCCTGTATACAGTGCCCACTCCCCTCCATTCTCAGGCGGCCCCTGTTTTCGCTCCAGTGAGGACAGAACACTAGGTTCCCCATTGGAAGTGCAAATCCTCGCACCGGGCGCTTAGAACGCCTGGGTGTAGGGCAGGAAGGTTAAAAGAGAGAAGGGACAGCTAGGCCCAAACCTCTGAGGACTAGATCCTCCCCTAGACCCTGTCCGGGGGCGGAGTAGGGGTGAGGGGCAAGCTGCAGGACTGGCCCTTTAAGGGGGTGTGGTCGGGGGGCGGGGGAAGCGATCCAGACAGAGAAAGCGGCTTCGGCTGCGGCGGCTCGGGCGGCGGCCGCGGGGGACAAAGGGCGGGCGTGGCCGCCATGGCGGACAGCGGCCCCGCAGGGGGCGCGGCGTTGGCAGCCCCGGCCCCCGGACCGGGGAGTGGCGGCCCAGGGCCCCGCGTCTACTTTCAGAGCCCCCCTGGGGCTGCAGGCGAGGGCCCGGGCGGCGCGGACGATGAGGGCCCAGTGAGGCGCCAAGGGAAGGTCACGGTCAAGTACGACCGCAAGGAGCTACGGAAGCGCCTCAACCTGGAGGAGTGGATCCTGGAGCAGCTCACTCGCCTCTACGACTGCCAGGTGTGTCTCCCACCCTGCGCCGACACCCTAAAACCGGTTCCGATTCGGGCCTCCTGGAAACCCCACCTTGAGCCCGCCTGTCACCCGGAGTCAGTGGGCACCCCGCTTAAGCGCGCTCCCCTGCTTTCTGTACTCCCCGCCCCCAATGTATGCTCTTTCTTGTCTAACCTAAGTCACTTCTTTCTTATTCGCTGCCTTGGACAGGAGACCTGGGGCTAGTCTAGGCTGGCTGGGGAAGGAGAGCTACTTATCGCTTGCTAGCCTAGACCAGTTTAAGGCACTAGCCAACCCCGTTGTTGGGGTTTATGTGTCTTGCCTGTTTCTAATGGGCTTATCTGGAGTCCATCTTGGCATGGGGGGCAAGCTAGCCCACTCTGTGGGTTCTGGTTCCCCACCCTGTGACTCCTTCCTTGCTCAAGTGGTGACTCAGGCCCCGGGGGCCAGGGTGGAGGAGTGGGCTTGCCCTGTGCTGCCTACCCTAGCCCAGCCCTGGAATGCAGTTGGCTCCAGACAGGAGAGATGCTTCCTGGGGGAGGAGGGGTGGCAGGCACCCCCTCCCTCGGCAAAGCATGGGCTCTTTGTTTCCCCTTTACCAGGCCTGGGTCCTTCCCACTGACCCCTCACCCTTCACTTCCTCCCCACTCCTGGGAAGCTGTGACAGGTGTTTGGGGGAGGGGAAGGGGGCCGTGATGAGTTGGGGCAGCTGGCCCCATCTGTGCTCTGGTTGAGATGGGGGGCTCGGAAGTTGGGGAGACACATCTGCAGGGTTCCCAGCCTAGGATCCCCAGCCCTGGCCGTCTGGCACCCAGGGTGCCCAACTGGCAGGGACAGGAAGCTCCCCCCCACATTGGGCAGTTTGCCTTGGCACAGGCCTGATCTGTTTTCTTCCTCGGAGCAGCTGCCGCTGTCTGCTGGGCAAAGAGGGCTGGCTCCCGTCTGCAGTAGGGCAGGGGCCTCAGCCAGAGCCCCTCTCACACCCTCTCTCCCAACTCAGGCCCTTGTCTCTCCCTCCTCCCCCACCCCTACCCCAGGAAGAGGAGATCCCAGAGCTGGAAATCGACGTGGATGAACTCCTGGACATGGAGAGCGATGATACCCGGGCTGCCAGGGTCAAGG